TCAAATTTGTTATATGGTCTAGATCATGTGATCATATTTATTATTTTATTATTGGTCAACCTTTTTGTCGATCGTACCAATTAGAAGAAAGTCTTCCTATGAAATATAGCATAAATATCTTTTTTTTACGTCAAACGCGTGCCAATGATTCACCTTTGCAATTATTTTAACATACTTGTATAAATTATTTTTTATTTTTTTTTTTTTATTTAAAGAATTCATAGATTCATATGCAATGCTTAATTTCCATATACTCTTAATATAATAATATTTTTTTTGTTTTAACATAAATGATTAATAAATTTCTTTTCCAGAAAGAATTTTTTTAAATAGAAAAATATCCATAAAAACATTTATAACATTTAAAGGATTTTTTTTTTTTGTATATGTACATTGAAATTTTTTTACGTATTTTAACCTATATTCAAATTATTGCCGATGCTATGATTTTATAATTAATATATATGCGATGAAAAAGAAATTGCTATAATGAAAATTGAATGATGCGAAAAAAAAAAATTAAAATTAAAATAAAAAAAAAATATCAATTATGAAATTGAAATTATGATGAATTAATATTATAGTAATGATGTAATCTTAAAAGAATTGATTTTCGCGGATTTGTTGAATTAATTGACTTCGCTTCTTTGTCTCGGTTTTGATTCCCATAAATTTCTTTATCGTTACAGAAAGGGCCTTAAACGTTAATTTATGTTTAGGCATGATCGAATATCTCTTTGGTTTTTTTTCTTCTTTTACTTCATTTTCTCGCTCCTCTTCTTGACCTTGAAATATCTTTGATGGTGGTTTAATGATGGTTAAATTAGGTGCACTGCTACTTTTTAAACCTTGGAGATGATCCAATTTTCCGACGCTTGAAATGTTCGCACTGAAATCTATTGTTCGACGCTTTTGCATGACAGAAATTTCTCGACGGTTTCGTTTTGATGCAGTGGCAGCGGCTACAACGATGTTTGCCTCGAATTCATCGTAATTATCTAAATTCTTGGAGATCGGTTTTCCCTTGTGAAGTACAATTATATGAGGTCGCTGTACTCTCTGAGCTCTTAACGCCCTTTGTATTTCATAATCAACCTTGGAGAATCCTACGCCGGAATCAAGAGATGACAAAGATGTTTTTGATGTGTTTGAGAGGCGTCGATAATTCAACTTAATTTTTTCAACATCAACTTGTGGTTTAAGATTACAAAGGATGTTAAGTGAAAGTCGTTTTGCATTATAGTTTCCGGGATAGCTATTTCTAAATTTCATTTCTGAACGAGCGGCAGGACAATAGCTAGCGGGTCTTTGTTTTTGCATGATTAATCGTTATTATTTTTATATAGATTCGATTCAATATCTCAAATTGTCTTCCAGGACGAGATACAGTATATAATATATATATATATTTTTAAAATTTTTGATGTCAAAAAAAATTAAGGTTTCTTTTTTTTTTTTTTTCGCTTAAAAATTATTTTTTTTTTTTTTTTTTAAAAAAAAACGATATTTTTTTTTTTTTTTTTGACAGAACTGACAAGCTTCGACCTTATATATATATTTTTTTATTCTTTCAAATGATGTGGGGGGAAAACAATGGATCACCTGTTGAGTTTCTTCCATGTTGGACTTCCAGCCAGTGGCAAGATGTCAATTATTCCTATTTTGGACAAGATTTGGCCTTTGTTACAATTTATTTATACTTGTGACACGGAGAAAGGCTGAATTTGGCCGATAATACGCTTTAGAAAAATTTTCGGCTTTTAATCATTAAAATTTGTGGCGTTATACATAGAGAGATATAACTAAAAAAAAAAAGTTCATTGAAGGTTACTTAATAGATTATTACCAAGTTTCGAATGTCAAACAAAAAAAAAAAAAATTTCCTCTCCCCCAACAAAGTCCAACTATTTCTTTGCATTGTAAACTTGAACATTGTTGACTCTTGAAAATCCCCAAAAATAGTTGACAAGCAATGAAATGAGCCAAGGATTTGTAGTGTGATTTTAGAGAAAATTTCATAGTGAGATGAAAAATCTTTCTGATTTTTAACCTTTGAGCCTATCAGTTCACGAGAACCTTAACTACAAAAATACAATAATTTAAATAAATTAATAGAATAGAATAGAAATAAAAAGGTCATCTATTGTTAGATTTATTTTTTTTTTTTCAAAGAGAATTTTTTTTTATTGTCCTTTTTTCATATTATTTGTCGTAGGTTTTAGTAAGCCCATGCATCGAAACAATAATTTTTTTCTTGTTCCAACTATGTGCTCTTCATTCGCATTAACCACGTACATCTGCACAATACCCTGCATAATTAGAAAGAGGGTTTACCTAATTAAATCGTAGATCATTCGAAAGGTGAATTATTTTTAGGTAAAATGATAGTGGCGCGATAATAAAGCCGAGAGAATGTAAATTAGGATGAATTTCGCTTAAAACATTTCAACAGGTAATGAGCCCAAAAGAAAAATATCGTGTATGTGACGAAAATCTAGAAGCATTTGGGCCAAGGTGTAACACGAAACAGATTAGTAATGACAATAAATCACTATATTTGGGCACTTCAAAATCAAGTTAATTTTTTTTTAATGGAAATTATTTTATGTTGGGTAAATAAGATGAGATGATTATGACTAAATTAAGATTAAATGAGATTTCTCTTGTTTCAGATGCATGGGCAACCTATACGAGTTTCAGATATAAAGAACACCAACCTAAAACTTTTGGCATGTGATACCTTTATTTCTATGATAAAAAAGAATTGGATAATGATATCACAAATTTACAAAAGAATGAAGAACCTTATTTCATCAAACCTGTTACGACATGTACCCGTTCGTGTTCTTGTTCAATCCCTGTTTTTTTTTTTATAATTCAAAAAGGAAAGAAAAAAAAATGTTTTTAGCAGGATTTTCGCTCGTGGTTCCTGTACTTAGAAATCAGTGAAATCAATAAACCTTATTTTTAACATCGTTGTAAAATTTTGAGAAGAAAGTTTTTTTTTTGAATTCTCGCATGTATCAGACCATCCCGAAAGAGTTATTATATAGATAACCTTGGTTACTACTCTGTAATCCCCAAAACAGAAATTCTTTTGTTCGGGGATGATGATACATTTTATCATTTTTAAAATATTTTAAAGAAAATTAAGGGTTTTTTAAATTTTCTCGTGTAACCGAATTGGATAATCAAAATAAAGGATGATGAAAATTGATCGAACCACCCAAAAATTGGCTAACCTTATTATATTATTCTTCAAGTTTATAAAAAAAAAAAAATTTTTTTTTTTCCTTTCCCCAATTTCCATATGCTTAATTATGAAGTAAACTAATCTAATTCCTTTATTAGAAATTCGGAATTCCCGATAAATGATATAATATTTGCGTTTGGCACACGGAAAGTTTTAAAGTGTAAAATCAATTGATTATCGGTAAAAACGTTTCAGGATAGAAAGCTCGAAAAAAAAAAAAATAAATCTGAATTTTGGGAACACAATATAAAAATAAATTAAACTTTGCATATATTATCTAATGTTGACGCGCAAATAACAAGTTATATTTGGATTGATTAATTTACCCCCCTTTTGGTGACCAAAAATTCCTTTTAATACAATGTATTATGTTCTGATTGGTCTCCCACACTTATGAACATGAATCACATGCAATCAATCAAAAATGCCAGAATAATTAATTTCTTTATTTGTAGAACGCGTGCAAACTTTTTTTGTTTAAAAAAAAGATATCCATAACAAAATCAAAAATCTTGGGAACGAATAATTTGTCAGATCGGATATCTCCTGAATAAATTTTTTATGTCTTCATGATGATGAATAAGGAATGAACTTTTCTTTTTTCTCTTTTGATCACAATTCAAAATCTTTTTTGAATTAATCAGCTTTGGTGCATACACGATTTTTTTTTAAAAATAAAGTACATGAAACAAAACAAATCCTTTTAATTTATAACTTTGGTAGGAAAAAACCCTTTTTATGACTTACTAATTATACGTTATTATTTGCTTAATTTTGAATATTCCATTTCATAAATTTTGTGATGCTATTCAAAATTGTTACAATTGGTTTGTGAATAGCATGAACAGTTCCATATAATGTATCAATTAAAAATAAATTTGTAATGATTTTTTTTTTTTAAGAAAAAAGAAATCATTAATAATAATAAAAAATATCTTACAACTTACCTATATAACAGACTTCTAACTAATAAAGGTTTTTATGCACATAATTATCAATAAATGCATCAGTTGACAACCATTTGATTGGTCCGTAAAGGTAAATGTTTAATATATATTTCGATTGATCTTCTTTCATTTCCCTCATTAACGAACGAAATAATACAAGTTGAAACTTCCTTTTTTTTTTTTCAAACATCAAACACACATTCATTCGCTTCAGTATGCTAATAACCATAAAATTGGGACTCTTGTTCGGAACGTCTTCAGCGTTTGTCATATATACGATAATATCCGTATACCAAGCAATGTATAATCGAACGAGATTACGGATCTTCAGGTGAGCATCAAGGACAAATTCTTGAAACAAAAAGTGAGAGAATATTGGACTAATTCTTTCGATTTACCAACCAGCGTATCGTGTGTACCCGTGCATATGTTGGCCATAGTGATCACATTCTTTAGGTTTTTTACGGGTTGGCCAAATTTTTATTTGTATATCATCATATTAGTATTATGTGGATCAATATTTGGAACCGTATTAATAATTAGTATATTGGATATCGGAAATAACTTTTATAATACAACCCAAGGACATACTTTATTGTATAAATTCGTCATCTTTTTGCTAATCACATGTAACGTGTATAATTTCCTCGAGATATATCTAAGCTATGTAGATAAAAAGAGATCATTTACATTGGCGATACTATTTCATCAAATCATATTCCTGTTTACCGAAATCCTTTCATTTGTATATTCATTTAAACCGATCTTAATCATGTATAACCCAAAAACAAATCAAAGACATATAAATTCGTCGGCGGCTGCGATCGGGGTATGGTATGCGTCTACCATTGGAACGTTAATAATCTTATCGATAATTACGAATGTTTTAATAAATGTCATCTTTCTAAACATGGATGGATGGTTCGTCTTTATATGCCTTGATATTACTTTTAAGATATTCACCACAACGTTTATCGGACTTAGTCCTCCTCTCAAAATTATACATTGGATAAAATTCATTTTCTTCACGAGAAACGTTATTAACAATGTTTCCGTTAGAGAAAGGGGTGTTATAAGTAGTGGAATCATCGATTCCATGGTTTAATTTAAGTTTTTGATGCACGCGCATCACTAAATGGTTTTGGATGTACGAAAATAAGTTAGCCTATGAAATGATATTTAAATTGAAAAAAAAAATTTGATTAATTTATTGATTTCGCTCTTCAAAAAATAAATAAATAATAAATAAAGCCTTTTTGCACTCTTTTGATCTTTGTTCTACGATTTCGATTTATCAAATCGTTCACCATGACAGAGCGAGATTACGCATTATGGTAGTTAAATAAGTTTTTTTTTTGGGGAAAGAAAAAAAAATTCTCCGCCTGACCCTATTTAAGTCGCTAGTTTAAAATGTATGCCAATAAATATGATTCTTATAGTGATCGAATTTATCGATTGTATATTAGGGTCCCCAGGGGATTTTGTTTCAACCTTATATTATTTTCGCCTCGACGGCATATTCTATTGATCATTTGTATGTTGGAAATTGAGAAAAGATATTATGACGGAACTCAAGGAATTAATAATATCTTTAATTTTTAATAATTTGATTGATTTAATAGGAATCATATTGATTTTTAAATATAAAGGCCGATCGTCAATTAGAATATTGTTCATGTTTGTCTTCATCTACCGGAGTTTTTTATATATCGTATAAAATCTTAAAAAAGACGAAATTTAAAATCCCAATTCATAATAAAAAAAAAAAAAATAAATTATACAAAAAAAATTTTTTTTTGCGATCTTTATTATTACCGAAACATTATTCCATCAAACTTTTGACCGAAATAATTTCTCCTTATTATGCACATCCCCACAATTTTAATATAAATTTATAAATTTTCTACTATTCTTTCTTCCGAAATCCAATGCTTCATACAAATAATTGCCCTTGCTGTTTCAGGATTAACCTGTTTCTAACTTTTGAGATAGTTAAGCCTGAAATTGAAAAAGTTCTTTTCTGATGGAACCGATGTCGCTTTGATCGATAAATAATCCTTAGCCATTTGAGACAATATCGGATAATCTTTTTCATGAATTTTCCACCAAATTAAAAGATTGGCATCACTATCTACCGGAGAATTTAGATATCCATCTAATTCATCACATGTCATTCTTTGATAATTATTTTGATTAAGCAAATTAAGAAAGTGATCCCGAGATGATAACTTTTTTTTTTGAATTTGTTTGATTATTTAAGGGAGAATATGTACTATATAATTCTTGTAAATTATTAATAATTCCAATTATTATCAAATAATGTGATTTTGTAACGCGGATCTAATATCGAAGAAATTGTAGAAGTGTAATTTAAATGATCATCCCAATATTTTTTTAATTTGTTGTAAATAACTGATGCTATTTCTTTTTGTGTGTGTGATGACCTCCTCTTTGATATTGATTCAATTTTTTAAACATTCCAACAAAAACCCATCGTATATGGGAAGTTTGTTAGGAAAATGGGGCTCTGAGAATTTTTTTGACTAAAATTAAGACCTTCTTACATTTTAATCTAATAACATCAAAAACTAAATTGCAATAAAACAAAATTTTGTTAAAAAATTCCCAGAGCCCCATTTTCCTAGCAAACCTCCCATATCACCTTGTGTAGGATTTAATGATGATGATAACTGTGTTGCTTCATACATAGGTTATAAAATTAATGATAATTCCTAAAAATAAATAATAAGTATAAAATAAATAAATAATTAATTAATTAATTATAATAATAAAATAATAAATAATTAAATACCTTAATACGACCTCATTCAGAAATTGTTGGAAAAAGATTATCAAGATCTTCAGGATTTGTAAATCAGAAACATTCTGCATTAAAGTTTGTCTAGCAATCATCAAATATGTAAAATTTCAACAGGTATCTATATCTAAAATTGGTTTTAAAAATTTAACCTTTCTAATGGTACAAATTTCTAATAATTTATCCAATAATAATGGTGAATTTTTTGCTTTAACAACAAATTGGTAAAGTTTTTTGATCTCATCTTCTAAATATTTCATTTCAGCTTTTACTGCCAAATTGATAATGTAAGCAGTACATCAGATAAATACAGTACATATTATTAAATTCTTGATCTAATTCAGCTGCTAATTGATTACCATATGCTATCGTATTGCTTCCATCATAGCAAGAATATTCTGACTAATATTGAATTCTTCAAAAAGTTGCGAAAGTTTGCTTGTAATTAATTTAGTTCTATGAGAACCATTTACAGGAATTATATCAAGTAAAAGATTCTTTAATTCCCAATTTTTATTAATATAATGAATTGTTATTTCAAGATAAAAATCTTTTGGATATGATGTTTATATATCTGTTATGAGAGATATATTGTCTATTAAATCATTTCCTTTTGTATCATAAATTTTTACAAATTTTTCTTTTAAATTTTGTCTACATGATAAAATAAATTAAGGATTCAACTTATTAGCAATTTGAATTCAGTATTTTTAACAATAGCAATAAAATCAATCAATGAATTTGTGATGGAATAGGATGATTTTCAGTTCTTTTATAATGAAATGAATGTTTTTAGTTAAATGTTTTCGAAGGGTAGTTGTTGGATTGCCAGGTGAATAAATTTTAGCACAAAATGCATTTATAACCTGTTGTTGGTCCAGTTTCTTCATTTTGGACCTTCCCACACATCTGACTTGCGAGTCGTTATATAGGAATCTTCTTCAGTTGCTTAAAAAAGTTGAAGAAACATCTGAGAAATTGTTCGTCATTTTCATTTGAAATTACGCCGCCAGACATTTGTAATACAAACAATAATGCAAAACGAAAGTAATTCTAGTTAAAATGATCAACGCGTCTTATTTACGCGACACGGCATTAGATAGATTGATCGTCCAAACCGTTCTAAAAATAGTACCGAAACGGTTGGGCAGCAGGTACGTTACTACTGTTGGTACTCTATTATCATAACGAATGTTGTTATGATCAAATATGTTGATAGTAAGAATTATTTATTGTTAGCTCCATTGAAAGAAATATTAATTACAGCATTTGTTCTCCCCCGAGTAAAATCATTTTTTTTTGGTTAAGATCGATTTTTTTTTACGAGAAACATGATGAAAACTCACATGAGAGAAAGGGGGTGATAAGTAATGGGTGGAAATATGAATGATTCTATTATTAATTTCATTCCTCTCTTCCCTACGATCTTAGTTACCCTTACATTCATTTCCTTAAGATATTCTATTGTAGAATAGTTTCGTTTAACAAATAAAAAAAAAGGATTTCCAAAAAAATCTCGAAAAAAATGCGAGGATTCTTTTTTGGGATAGCTACGTAACGATCAAATCAATACCAACCTTTTATGTATTTGATTTAGACCATAAAGGTTTCCATTGTAATTTTTTAAAAAAAAGAAGTCCTTTCATGGATGATATTTGGTTATTTGAGCCGTTATAGGATTGTTTTTCCACGACGGGGTGTTATCGACAGTCAAGATACGAAATTCTCACCGCAAAAGTATAAATCATGTATAAATGGTATTATTTATTTTTTTTTTTAATCGATTCGTGTTATAAATTATTGACTTTGACAGATTAATATGCTTATTTCACCCTAATCTCACCAATAATTCATCATATATGCGTCATCACAAACTTTCGATAACCGCAAATTTTCATTTGAAAAATAAGATGACAGATCCGTGTTTCATCAAAATGGTCTCACATAATATGGACGCGTTTATTACATTGAGACCTTTAAAAAAAATTTTTTCCTTCGTTCACAAAAGCAACTCTATCCCATCTCTTTTATATCGTCATCAAAGATTTAAAAGTTATGGGATTAAGTCAATGGATTTATTCTTTAGATAGACATTATGATAATTCAGGCACTATAAGTAATGATTGTAGAAATATTTTAAAAAATTACGTGGATTGTATCATGGATACGTATTCCAATACCCCTGAACTTATCACTCGGGAAGTTTTTGAATTCGTCGAAATCGAAGGTATAGTCAACTGAAGGAGGAAAGAATTTTAGGAATCTAACTTATTCATAAACTCACCCTTGTAAATATATATCACAAAGTTCCGGAAATTTATTCAATTATATGTGAATTTGAAACGGAATTAAAAATTTTGGAACAGCAAAATAAAAAGGCCCTTATTATAATGGAAACTTTATTGGCATGTAAAAGTGTGAATGGTATTCTTGAACGAGATCTTAGCGAAATACAAGAAAAAACTCGCGTTGAAGTCGAATGGAGTTATAACACTTATAGAAGTCGGTTGCAATTATTTATGCCAACTTTTAACCAATTAATTAAAAGAATGCGATGTAAAATTAATGATATCAATGAATTAATTGAAAGAAGGAATGTGATTAATATGATGGGTATGAGTCAGGGAGAAATTGGTGTTGGTGTTGAAGTTGACAGTCATGAAGAATGGAATCTTAAAGGTGGTGACGTTGAAAATAATCAGGTTGGTTATAAGTTGGATGATCACCGTTGTAAAACCATAACGATAAAACTTTGATTTTAATCAAATATAGACTTTCATACCCAATTGTTCAATTACCCATACGGTGCAATGAAGTTACTGTCAAATTTTCTTGTGTTATATTGGATGTATCAAAAGTTATTGATGAATTGATAGAGTAAAATTATAATTAAACGAAAAAAACATTCTTCTTTTTTGGTTATGTATAGTTATGATCGTGTAACTCGACTAAATCCATAAAAGTGCTTTGCTGATTCTTATTGGTCAATTATTTTACTTATTACTATAAAAAAAAAATAATTTCAACTAGTACCAGTGATCTCAAATCTATTATTTCGTAGCTTTTAGATTCACAACAATTGGGACGAGCCGTATGGTTAGGTAACGTTTGGTGTTATATTAGTCAAGCGTGATATTTTAAAGTGTCAATTATATATACAGTATATGATCTAACTTATATTATCCCGTATGTATAATTTTACACAGAACTCGAACGTTTTCTTTAAAGAGGTTGAAATAGATATTTAATCAACTAGTATTCAGAATTTAATTTGTTAGATTCATCTCGTTGAGACGAACAGTGTTATTTTA